AACCTTCTAACATGACGTCATTTTAACGCGGTAAATTCATAAAAATGACGTTGTTTTCTGTACGAAATCTGCTGTGGTCATAGTATTATTTTTACAATAGGTTTATCTCTTAGATTTGGTTCGCTAAATTGCTAATCATGGTCATGCAACTACATAGTTAGGTGAAGAAGCAGGCGCTTGTTTTGGTTGAGTCTATTATGTTTTGTTTAGGGGGTTGAGTTGTCATACACAAATTTACAATTTATATGCATTTATTTTTTTTCCAATGATTGTTATTATCTATTATTTACAATGAAATTCTACCTTAAGTGTATTAAAAAGGTTTTTAATTTCCTGTAATTTTATTTTGTGATTATGCTTCAAAGCAGTCAATTGACCGTGAATTTTCTTTTCATATTTTGATTTCCTTGAAATCATTTTTCTCATCTGAAAGCATGCAACTTTAATATGGTGATACATTAATCACATTCCATGAAAATGTTTAAAGATATAAAATATCTCATGACATGTTTGTTCATTTTACATTACACCTTTAATTCAGCAAACATAAAGTCTTCACAAAAAGTAGTATCCATCGTACCTATATTACATACGAATGTATGTAATATTTTTCTTGTTTATCACTGTTTTACCCGAGTGGATTGAGTAGCTTGGGTAGCCTATCACACTCTTGTTTTAAATAATCCAAACACATGGCCATAACGTATCATAAATGAACGTAGCCATTATTGTACAAGAAGAGAAGCCAAAAACAAATGGAGTAAGATTAAAACTGCAATTTCACTAGCTGTTGTCTCTTTTAATTTTTACTAAGTCGGGTAGGGTGACAATTTTGCCAGGGAGTTTATTCCATGGGTCCCGGAAGGTACGAGTTCTTAAGCTACTTTAAAAACATACTGGTTGGATAGATAACTCCGACGCATAGATAGCCCGGTACTTGATATATATTATTGTTTTAACATTAGTTTTTCAACAAAAAGGCATGCACATAATCACTTACTTACATTTTGTATAAAAAGCAGGACAGAATGTGGAGATTCCTTTTCAATTTTGATTACCTTAATTATAAAGTACCAGTTTCTATATTTCATAAATTTTTGTATGGTATCTGAAAGGTTTTGAGTAGGCTGTTAGGCTTTGAGTAGGCTGTTCAATATTTAAGATACACAGGAAAATAATAAAATTTCTATATAACTTCTAAATAACGTGTATTAAATCTAAGGTCAGCAGACAGATCTAGTTAAAGATCCTGTAACATAACATTTATGGTTTAATATAATAAATATGATCCTCAAATTAAGATTTATCAATATAGTAAGTTCCAAAAAGCATTATTTATAAAGAATTTTACATTTCATGTAAATAAAGGGATGTAATTAGAAATTTATTTTCTATAAAGTCTAAAATATGATAAACAAGATCATCAAGGAATGGCGGCGTTCAATGAACGCAGCCCCCACCCGACTAAGCCAGATTTTTCAATGAGGAATGAATGCATTCAGTATATTTTATTTATAATACATATAATATGCACAAATATTTGCAGTACTTATTTTACATATTCTTCGATGTTTGAAAATTGTTTTATTTATAAGCATAATTATATACATATATAAAGTTTAAATAAGTGTGGTAACAACCTTAGTTAAAGACGGAACCGCTACTTAGTCAACAACTGCGGACCAGCTGCCGGTGTCCTGACTAATGCCGAGGGGAGTGGCCCTACAAAGTATATAGGCGCTTGGGTCGACGAGGACGGTGTGCTAGGGTGCGTGAGCCCCTAGCACGGTTAGACGGCTTGAACGGCAGGCCTTTTCCTGGCACAAATAGCCCTTTTCAGGGCTAACCTTTCCTATTGTCTCAGGTAATTGTACATTTAAGTTCTCATTGACCGCCGCAAAGTGACCTGCCTTTTGCTCAAAATTCATATGTTTGGCTAATACTCCCTCCGTGGAAATTGCATGGAGGTAAATTATAAAATGTATCACAACTTTGTGCTTCAAAATTAACTCTTTAAGGACATGACTGGTGACATGCCCGGGGTCCGTACTCGACAGCGAAAGCTGCATTTTGTGCTCGAAAGGTTGGATGGACCCTCATTAAGCTTTAACTTCAATCAATCAAAAGGTAACAACCTTAATTTCAACATACAGGATCTTTAAAGGTATTTAGGATTAGTGACCAGTTCTGGGACTTAGTCATGGAACATATGTCTTAGTGTTTAATTATAGTTTTGTTTTGATGACTTGGCACTTTCAAGAATTAACACCATACCCCACGTACAGCTTCTTCCACAGAACCATATTGTATTGTTTATGTTGGAGTATTGGTCTGCGGAGGAACTATGGTAAGGTATACAATGCAGTGTCATCTGCAAATAATCTGACTTGAAATTAAAGGATAGTAGTTGTCAGGTAGATTGTTGATCTAGAGAAGGGAACAAAGGGTCCTAGTACTGATCCATAGGGCAAAGAAGGCCTACTTATATGCAAAATTACAATACATAAAATAATATATGTTTGAAAAGTTTTTATACTGAAATGGTCTATCGATTTACAAGAAATACAAGAAATTCCAGCATAATATGTAAACTATACAGCAGGCATTGAAGAAGCAAATATTCGTCTTCAATATTATGTTTCTATAATATGTCTACAGTATAGTTTATGATTCTGAAATTAACATCAGATAAAAAATAACTTGTCTACTGTACTGTAAATTAGGAGTTAAAAATATTGATTAGTTTATGGACCATCACATTTTGCAAACTTAAATGCTTTTCGTCCTTTAGTAAAATTTGGGTTCAAATAAATGAGTTCAGCAAAGGGGAATAAGTTGGTCCGAATAAAAGTTAAAGTTGATGATAAAATAATTTTTTATATAGTGTCACAACAAATCAGAGCACAATTTATTAAACCAATAACGGAGTAAGGTAAAGAATTGTGTTCTTGTACACTGTAGATGTTTGAACATGTAAATTATTATTAGAATTTTGAAGTTGTTTCAAAAACATGCCAAACTTCAATGAGATTCGCGCTACAACTGGTTCGTACCTCGAATTTTGGCGGCATCAGTTGCCTTTTCGTAATGCCCTGTCAGTTAATTATGTAGCATTTTTTTGTGTATTTGCGTTTATTTATACCCGCCACATGTTTTTCACATGGGCGAGTCCTCCAGAAGAGTATAATTTAGTCATTTTAGATTGTTGGAGGATAGTGCAGGTAACAAGACAACTCACCTCCCAGACGATTCACCCCCCAAAAAAGCAAGACAACTCATCTCTCAAGACATTTCACCCCCAAAATAGATAAGACAATTCACCCCTCATAAATGATAATCATGTTTATGGTTAAAAAAGAATAAAAAAGTCAAGATATTTATTTATTTATTTATTATGTCATATTTACAAAATATAACTGATATAAAAGCACATATAGAGCAAATGCTTCAATTATCGACAGTCTATAGTTATCGACAGTTGTATTATTTTTCATTATTTAAAATTTTCAAATTAACTTGTCAAACACATTTGAGGTAATCTTTTCCCTGAAACACTATCTGCACGTTCCTTTTGCTATTTTGCAAAAGTCCACGGAGTTTGGTCAAGTCAAATTTGCATGCATTTTACAACCGTTGCACCAATTTGTTTACTAGACAGGACAGCTTACGTCACAGGGTAAGGAAGTCAGTTACGTAATATCTTTAAGTTATGATTTTCACTTTATTTTTCCGAAAGTTATTCCACTTTGTTTAGTCTATTATTAGATGTATATGGGTTACAGACCACTAAATATGCATTATTAACGGTATTGATACAGTTGTAGGGGGGTGTCGATAACTACGTCCAGTAAACAGAAAGGTCTACAGTTATCGACACATTGTAATTTTTAAATAAAAATTTATGTTTTAAAAACAATTTTATTGAAGAGTATAAAAATAATGTAACTATATAGAATATCAATGTTTTATTTAATTATCCATTTACATATAATGTTCAACAGTAAACATTTAGTTCTACCACAGACAAATTTAAAATTTTAAAGATGATAGGTTTCAATACAGTTATGAAAGAATATTACTCCTGTTCTAGACATCATCTCAAAATCATTAGAGGGTCTAATACTTGCCACCCAAAATGAGGGGAAGTTGAAGTCAACTATGAGATGTAATGGGATGTCGAAGGTAACCGTAAAGGCTGCCAGGTTATATGGGGTTCCAAGGACTGGCCTTTTAAATAACCATTTGGGAAGAGTTCCTGAAATGCCAACAAGGCCCGGACCTCCGTCAGTTTAGACTCCTACTGAGGAGAAAGCTCAAATAAACTATGCAACTCTGATGGCAAAAGTTTTACCTTGAATTTTGGAATATAATCTGTTGAAATCGGAAAACAAAAATTATATGCTGAAATAATCTATTAAGTGCACCTTTTAATAATGTTATGGTTCATGTATTTTATACTACAAATGTATGTTATTTTGATAACTTCTTTAATAAAGTTTCAAATCAAATTTCCTATATATATTAGGCCATCCTTAAAAAAATGTTTGTTTGCAGTAACGCGACCGACTCACAAAATTTGCCCCTACTCAAATTTTTTTTTCATGGTCTGGATAATTTTTTTTTTTTTAATCAGAAAATTATGCCTTGTGCTTTGTTTTCATTCTTTTAAAGGTTAATAGAAGAAATAAAATGTAGGTCTTATTAAATTAGAATTCAGTTATCAATTTATTAATTGTTACCAGACTATCAAAGCAATTTTGAAATTCTATGTTTATTTGGGAGTACAGTTCACTAAAAAAAAAAAAAAATCGACCTACCTACCCACCTTCAAAATTGATTTAATTCTGGGTCGGGTTACTGCAAACAAACATTTTTTTAGGGATGGCCTTATAGGTTCTTCATCTATTTTAAACTCATTTGCCATGACTATGAATCTTTATTTTATATTTCAGGTTATTCACTATCCAAGAAAGAGATTTTGACTAAGTTCTTAAGTGATCAGTCCTTTTCCCCTTAATATCTCCTGAAGGCAAGCGGGTCCATCTGACTCTGAGCTTACAGTAGCAACTACATGTACTTCAATTGTCTCAGACAAGTCTTCTGCCTTTAATAAACTCATTATACCTGAAATAAAGAAAAGAAAAGTCAATTCCATTAGAAATAAAATCCCAAAAGTGTTGTACGGTTCTGTTGCTTTGAATTTGTTAATGTGAGAGAAAGTAAGAGAAGACCAGAAGAAGAAGAGTAATTAAGAAAGACAGAAAGATAAAGCAAGAAAAGTGAGAGAGGAAGAGAAAGAAAGAAAGGAAGATTTGTAAAAGATAATTAAGAAAGAAAATAAAATTAATAGAAAAGAAAAAAAGGTAGAGGCATATATATGCCAGCAATACCTCTTCTGAGGAAAATAAACCATACATGGATTCCGATGATGA